GTCTATCCCACTTTCACCCTGGTTTCCCCCAATTCCGAGGTTTAATTTATACGCGCAGCTCCAAGAGAAACCCATATCCCCATCGCCCGTATCGTCCATGGTTGTCTCGGGAGTTCATGGCGGCGGCCCAAAAAGCAAACGGACATAGGATTTCTGTAGAGCCATCCATCATCGTCACCGTCCCTACGCCCTCCTCCGAACTGATCTTCTTTTTCTCTTTCTCACCCTTCCGTTTCCTTTCCTTCCTATCTATCTCTATCTCGGTCTATCCTGCCTTCGTTCCCACGTCATTTCCTCGACGCTCCTCCTTCCATGCCCTTTTGGGCTCCGTCTCTTTTTGAATATCTCACGAAGCCGCCATCGTTACGGACACCAATCTCGTGTCTGGCTATGTGGTCTAGAAACGCGTTTCCAGATGAGATTCTGATCACCGCGACCCCTGCCAGTTTTGCCCACAGATTAAAAACCGTGTGCGTCCGCCACATGCTTTCTGCCCATTTTTTGTTCCTCGGTACAAGGAGAAAGGGGCTACAGGTGTTAATCGCTTATGTTCGGAGCAATAAATCAAACCGGGGCTGACTTATAACATTTCACATGGAATATTAATACGGGGATTATAATAGACAAGTATTTTCGAAGTGACTAATTAATTTGCAAATTACTAATTTTCAAAGCAATAACACACAAGCTGCCCTAATTATATCAGATGACAGTACTAACTGCAATAACAAGTGTATAAGGGTAACTGTAATGAAGGTTCTTTAAAAAAGAGGTCGATTCACACCTAATACTCGGGAAATGCGATCGCATAGAAAATGAACATCTTCAGGGACAATAATTAAAAAAATTCGTTATCTCGAGACGAATCAGATCCCGATTTCAGATAAAGCTTGGAATTATGTCGTTCCTCAATGCGGCCCGTCGGAATGCAATTCCTGTTTGCAATTCCAGCCACGCACTCCGTGTAATTATCGATACGCTGTGTCGCTGGCTGTCGAACATATCGGAACTCGAGTGTACCCCGGAGGAAAAGAAACCTATCGACACCAGTCGATACGCGTTTAATGCGTAAGATAATTGCGATCCTTTTACGCGAAAAGATTTATGATATCGAGTCCTTCTAACTTGGTGCTCCTCCTTCGTCCTCTTCGCAAATAAGCACGCAGCAGCTCGGCTTATATACATACATGCATAGGTGTGAGGCTTCCGTTATTGCACACAGGTGCAGGCCGCAACCTCTCGTACAAGCGCCACATTTCTTGTGTAAGCCGTGCACTGACACGAATGCTTAGCGAACAGAGAGTGCCGCGGCAGAAAAAAGCCGCATTACCATCGAATTAACCCGCGCGAAATATCTACATAAATGGCCAATAACCCGTACCCGTAATGAGGAATTAAAATGGCCCTTGCCGTACACTCGCTCGATTTATTTCCTCCTTTCTTTTTGTTAATCTTGCTCGATTAATCGGGGACGCGAATTTATGGACTGAACACTGTTCTCTGGCCCAGCACGTGGCATTGAATGTTAATGCCTCTCGAATCTTCGTTCCTGGGAATTGCCATTTTACGTTTACCGTAACGTCGATTATGGCTACTCCAATGAGCACGCGTGCACGAGATGACTTGCAACAGTGTCTTTTGCTCGTTTCGACTTTTTTCGGATGTAAGGATTTTTCAGTGCATGAGGATAATCGTTCACAGAATGGTAGACTGCGGTTGTACTTGCATAACCTCAAATTTGGTGCTCTTCGATAACTACTTCCTACTCTGAAATACTGCTATTCTCGCGATTAAGTACTAGGAACGGTTAAAAGTAGATGTTTAACGCGGAGGATCATGTGACTCGACAGGTGGCCGGGACATTTCGTGAAAATCGTCGTAACTAATGGCGGATCGAAGGAACATCAGAGGAGGCTTTCACGTTCAGAAGTCGTGCACGTTCCGCGATGTTTCGTGATGTTCGGCAGTAAACGACACCGATGTGCACCACCATGCCGCGGTGTTTCACGAGTCAGGCCAACTATGCCGGAATTTCCTAACCTATGTAACGTAAATGTCCCGCGTAAGGTGCCAGGGAATCTCGGTAGTTTCACCGGGCAAATGCCCGGAGAGCACCTGCATCTATAAAATTGAGTCATGCATTATTCATAGGACCTGCTTAGCTCAGCTGGTGCGCTTTTGCAACGTGCTAAAGAAACGGCCAGCCACGAATGGATAGCCAGATAAATTGATATGAAGTTTATCATGATTGGTAGCCCTGTAAGGGTAAACAGGATCGACTGGAAACTAATAGACACTATCGAAACGGGCAAATACTGCAGATCAACACGGAACATTCGATGGGAGGAAATTGTAAATCGCTTAAATTTCGAGCTTGGGTCTTGTAAGTGTCGATGCGTACAATGATTAAAATCGTGTTTGTAGCATTCGCTTACTGATACAATGCCAGCATCCAATACTTTTAAATACACTATCTGTGTGTAAATATATATTACAATTTAGTTTAGATACTATATTTCTTTAATTAAATCAAACTTAAACAAGAAGATCGTGAACTGCTTCATTGGATCACCTTGAGATGAGTTTTATTTTAAAGTAAATTAGGATACATTATAATGCAAATTTTGCATAATGCAATGATTAGTGTTAAGCATATCTATGTGTCATAGAAATTAAAAATTGAAGAGTCATAAAAAGGGGATGATAATTCAACATCACAAGATTAACGTGAATTTAAGTGGAAGATAAGAGTAAATGAAGAAAATATGCTGCTGTTGAAAAAGATTTTGTCCTTGAATGATTAGAAATTATCGGTTCGGAATAATTTGCTTGGTCCATAGGTTTTACGAAAATTTACGAATTGACGAAGAAATCAATATGGTTACCTGAGGCACGATATATTATTTGTTGCTGCGAGGAAAAACTATAATGTGCCGACATCTGTGAGGAGATTCAGGCACTCGAACCTCTGTCTTCCTTTTGACTGGCAGTAAAGTACGGACCAACATCCTCATCGTGAATTGGACCATTTATCGGCGAAACAGGAAATCTGGTAGCTTACGAACTCAACCGAAAGATGGTCCTCAAAAAATCAATTATTCACTTAAATTCTATGTACACTGTACATACACTCTACATAACTCTAAAGACCACATTTAAATTAATAAACTTGAAGAGACGAGAAATCCTTAAAGGAAGAAATTTTAACGAAGCACTAGTTCCCTTCACGAAGTGCACCGAGTAACTGAGGGTTAGAGTACTAATAAGGCAAAATGGTATCGAAGAAACGTTTACACGGTATCCTTCAAATCCTACCCTTCAAGGTTGCAGCTTCCTTGGATTTAGCGAAGGAAGAAGCGGCGGAAACGCGAAGGGGAAGAAAATAAGAGCAAACGTAGCGGGGTGCCAAAACCTGTGCTCTTACCTAACCCTGGGAGAGGATACCTTCGGGTTAAGGGGAGCGGACTATTATCACTTCGTTATTGCCATCATAAATTTCCAACTCGTTACACCGAAATTGCCCCCGTGATTCTTTGCAGTCACGGATGGGCCGAGAAAATGTCGGTAAACCTTTCCTGCGTTACAACCCCGTCGTATTTCAAGAAAGCAGGTGGTCTACCTTACCTCTATCTATATATTTTCTTGAATATTGCTTTCGGGGTTATAATAATCAGCCGGGGATTTGTCCTTCATCGAAGGTGCTCTATATTCCCGACAAGGATACAGATAAATTCATACAATATTCTTTCCTTCATATTGGTAACATTGTAGCAATTTTAATGACAAGGATTCTCGTCCTGATTTTTATAGATGCAAAATGATTTTGAAGAGTATTTGAAAGGAAGAACAGTTCAAATAGCGAAACTGTATAACTAGTAAGGATTAGAAACTGCCGTAAACAGAAGTCTCGCAGAGAAAAGTTGAAATATGGTTCGAAATGTTAGGAATCTGTTCGAGGTGGCCATTGGTTGGACATCGGAAGGTGAGAACGAGTGAACTAGTTCATCGTAAGGTTCACTCGAAAACACGAGAGCAGCCATGAGTTATCATGGGAATAAAAGTGGATGAGTGGAGGCTCTGCCAAGCCGTGGAGCCAACGCGGACGCGAACGTAGCCAGCCAGCAAGATAACTTTTATGGGGGGGTAAGGGTACGGTACACGGTATACGCGTGGTGAAACTACCGAGCTAAAAGGTCAGAGCAATAAATAACTCGGTACGTCTGGGGTATACCTAGAAACTGGAGACATTATGCCAATCTTGGCTTGCGAACCGTACGAATGTGGTCTAGTTTTACCTACTGTTGCATAAATCTGAAAGCGACCGGCTACCTGCCGTCCTCTCTAGAAACCTTGCTTTCTACGAAACCTCTTGGTCACGCGGGAAAAGCCTTGAGCCTATTTTCGTGAGCCGTCTCACGTATTCGCGATTATGCTTCTTTGTGATCGGAGTCCGCGATTTTGGAAACTATTTTTTATTTTCTTCTTTAAGAAGACACGCATGACCCTGTCTCATAAATCTACGCGTACGCGATCTCTGGATCCTCGTTGAATTTATTTTCTCGGGTGTACGGAATTTAGAATCACTGTCGTAACTTAGCTTTTGATGTTTTGTACGACCTCGCTAATTAATTTGCTGCTTACTTTCATGATGACTTGTCCGATTTTTGGACAAGACAGGAATTGTTCAAATTTTGTACATTTAGAATGAAAATTGATTTGGGTCTTGTAGCAAACATCGTCGAATAAGACCAAACTTAAGTCATAGACATCTTTACTTCATCATTTTGATTAGTGGACCAGTTTGTATTCGAGGTATAAATTTATACGATTCTGCCGGATTCGCTAATATGTTCATATGAAAGGCATCATCTAAATCTTGATGTTTAAGTTCATCAAAAGAAACATCGGAAGCTGTACATGCATTTTGGGGCTGAAGGGTTAGGTAACCCTGTGAAAGTGTTCCGTGTAATATCATTGGCAGACTATGGATGTAATCTTACCGAATTGACTTCTCATCCACGGGTAGAGCGGGCTCGGTAGGTTGGCACTGGCCGCGCCTTGAGGAGTGCCCTGTTGTTGCTGACTAAGCGGCGACGTGACCACCCCTTGATGTTGCTGAGCTTGCGGCTGTTGCTGCGGATGTATGCCTGGCTGGGATTGCTGGGACGCCGCCTGCGTCTGTTGTTGCTGCTGATACATCATGTGCTGCTGCTGTGCCTGAAGATGTTGGTGCTGTTGCGGTTGCTGTTGGTGCTGCGTTTGCTGTGGCTGCATGTGAGGATGTTGCGAGTGCATCTGATGGTGCATCTGGGGTTCGACGAGAGGCGGGCTGTCCGGTCCATCGAGCACGCTACCCTGATGATCGACCGCGGCCGCTTGAAGCTTGCAACTCGCGTAGACAATAGGAGTGGACGGATGTCCGTTCGGGGTCGGTGTGTGTCCCATGTGGCCCATACCGGGGCTGGGGGACGTCGACCTGTAACCACCCATCCCGTCCATGCTGCCGTGCTCCTGTTGATGCTGATAATAGGTCGCGTTTCGCATGTCCATCCGATTGTACGGAGGAAACCTCGGATAAGGCATATCTTGTTGGGTGCCCGCTGCCCCATAATGATGGCCAGGTACTCCTTGACGCAGGAGGCTGGGGTCGCAAGGGTCCCCGGCTTGCTGGGACTGTTGTTGAACAGACTGCGTTTGCTGGGGCACCTGGACGGCGGCACCGTAGTGCTGCTGATGCTGATGCGGGTGTTCCACCCCGCCATTACGCAGGTCCGGGATGTACGAATTCGCGAAGTACGAACTCATGCTACTTGTCCCACCTGGCCCACCTGCTAATGCCACCCTCGGTCTTTTAGCGTGCTCTCACTCTTCGTCTTTTTTCTCTTTATCTTCGATGCTTCTTCGCCACCTATTTACTTTACACTTACTCTTCCGCCTCCTCCCCGGCCTCTTCTTCTCCCTTTCCACCGGAGTATATCTTTTCGCTTTTTATATATTCGTTCGTTTTGTTTTGTACTCTATCTGCGTACGGACACACTTGCACACTGGTCCTTACATTTGGATATATTATTTATATTATTTTTACATATATAATATATATATATCACCTTCTCTAGACCTTGACTGCCACACTCTCGGACAACACGCGCGCGCGCACACTCTTTTCTTATATCACACCACCATCACCGTATTAATTCCACTTGCGTATCATTTGAATTTGATTCTCCCTTCTTATCACACTGGACTCGTCGATAGAACGGAAAATAAAACAACGAGAAACTGGAGCACTACAGAACCGTGAGTTATCAAACTGCGTTAGGGGCGAGGATTGAACTTGTACACGAGGGGGGGAAAGATGGTAATCAGAGTTCTTCGTCTTCTTCGGTATGGTACCTTCGTTCAAAGCGCCAAGCCGCTCCAGACACGTTCCGTTCCTCTGTCCACCCTGCTACCGAAATTGTGCCGCACCTGTAACACCGGAAACACACAGCCGTTTTAGTTTCGCGGGATTTGAAAACGTTTCGAGACTGACTTTCGCGCTACAGTGTTGCAACGCGGAGTCGAGCAAAAGCTCTGGTCGCCGATGTTTGTACGACCGACCGAATGAAGCGAGCCGAGTTTGACTCCGTGAGTGACAGAAGGCGAGGTACACACGTGGCTCGTCACGGTGACGGCCATCGCCCAGACGCCGAACTTGCTGCTTTCGGCCTTCTGTGTGGGCGGGCTAAACGATCGTTAAATTTGGAAAAATTCCCGTCCATTAAGCGGCATGGCTACTGAACCCCTCGCCGAGGTTCTCCCTTCATTTTTTTGTGGTACACGCGGTCGTCGGCTTCGCGCAACTCGTTAGTACGTAACTAGAACCGGGTGACTTCTTCCTTTTTCGCCTGGCTAACCGAGACCAGTTCCGGGAACGCGTTTTACGAAACATTTATCGCCGCAAACTTTGCTCCGTTCACCCTCGAACGACGGTAACGGGTTAAACGTGTCACCGGACGTGGACCCGAGAGTTCTATCGACACGTATCCGACGCACAACTGATGCCTGACCGTATGGTACTTATTGTACAAACTAATACGCGAATTTAGGAGTGTCATCGGATTTTGTTTGTTCGGTAACATTTGAGCTTGTTGCTTTCAAAGGTAACATTGGGTTTTTCGTTCAAATATTCTAGACTGCCTGATGAAGAGGTCCTGATCACTCATATGTACGATGCGTGCAATGATGAGGTGTTGGAAAGTTATTAAGATTTTAAATTTTTTAATAAAGAAAGTCGTAAGCGTATCACATTTTCAAAGTTTTAAAAGAAATTCCTCTACATTATGACATATAAAATTTATAAAATGAGACTGCATCAGAAAAGAATCTGAGGACTAAAGATCTGAATTTCGAATTATATAATAGTAAATGAATATTAAATTGGAAATATTTAAAAAATCTGTAAGAGTATGCATTTTCGTCAATTTAAATTTGGCGGCGCAAATTATGGCGTTGAAAAATTGGCAAACACCGAGGAAGGGCCAGTCGGTCCTTTATCGGCAGAATCTTGTAGAAACAGGTCTTCCGATCGGTCCCGGGTACCTTCCCTACCGACTGTGCATCATATTTCGAACATCGACTCGATGATCTAACTTGTATTGTAAGTTCAGGCAGTGCACACGAGTCTGAGTACTGATTGCTCCATTCTACTTGATAAAACGAAGACTAAATAGCGACGAAAGAATACGAATGATATATCAGACAGAAAATAGTAGTAAAATATTAAAGTAACATCCTTTGGTAAATATTTGAACTGATTGTAAAATCGAGGGTCGATAATATTTGGATTATTCTTAAGAAGTATAATGAAAAAATTATAATTAATTATGACCCCCAATATTTAATACTGTTGATATTACATATAGGAGTATTCTTGAACCGAGTTTTGAAACATTTTGATCCATGTATTTGCTACACTAAAATATATTCGACAAAATAAAAAGAAGTATTGTATCAAAGAGAGCTTTGGAAAAACTGTTCAATTGGTGATAACTGTGCAATCATTGCGAATTAATTATCAGCATTTGAGTTTATTTTATAAGCATTCGCCAGATAACTTTAAACATTTCAAGCTGAAAATATGTACTTTTATTTTCCATCTACGTTATTTCAGGAGTAACCATCTTCGGACCACGCTTTTAAAAACGAACACCTCCACTATTATTTTAAACATGTAATTAGTACCAAACATTATTTTTGTTCATCTTATTTTAACTGTACAATGATCTCGCGGAACACACATATTGTAGTCATAGTATCCTAAAAATATTTAAAGGGCTTAGCAAATACTCTATAAACGAAAAAAGGTAGCTATTTACAATTTGTTTTAGTATATGATTATATCGATTGATCGCACGTATAATAGGTGGTAAAGTAAAAAAAGTATTCGATTTCATTGGAAGGGAATAGAATAGAATAGAATGTACGTTGCGAGGGTATAGGGAGCAGCAGGGTGGTCGTGTTGGTAATGGTCGAGGAATGGTATGGGGCAGAGTTGCGGGGGCGGATGTACACGGGGATCCGAAGGGATGGGTAGGGTGGCAGGTTGAAGGGTTCGGGGTGGAGGTGGGGCCCTTGGGAGTTTGCTGTACACGAGAATGGGTCGGACACGGGACGATCGCGATTAACATTCCGGCCGCTAGCTCGCTGTTCGCGCGGCGCTTTCATTAATTCCAGCGTATTGATTCCCCGGATTGATGAATGGCCGCCGATAGCGATTCCATGCGCTCCGCAACTCCCCGTGCCCTTCCCTCCTGCCCGCCCGGCCAGGATCGCGTATAAATTCTACCTCTCGCAGGATTTTAACTCAATTCCCGCTTTACGGACTGCTCTCGCCCCCTTACGTATCCTGTGTCCTCGTAACGCCGCTTTCTTTCTATTTATTCGGCCCCTTCGGTTTTCCCAGAGATCAAGATAAAGGCTTACGCCTCGTTTCCATCCGAACGACCCGTAACCCCTTCTTCCTTCTCCTCTTTTTCTATCTCTGTTCCTCCCTTCGCGAGGAGCTTTCCATCGGGCGCGATTAAACGCGATCGTTGTTACGCGAGCCGTGTAATAAACCGTTTCAAATGGAAAACGTCACGCCTCGGCATTGTTGGAAACGCCGCATTGTCTTTCCGTGAAAACGTTTCTGCCGTTTCGTCCGAACAAGGCATTGTTTTAATCGCCTGGCGGAAACCGCTCGAGGAAAAGGAGCTTCCGGTGGAACATCTGGAAAAATGGCACGATCCTATCGTCGGAAACGGCCACCGTCTCCAAGAGGTTCGAATGTTTTTTCGAAGGTACATTTGAAGGTCATCGTGGCTTTGTCCGGTGGTGACACCGACCGGAAGAGGCATAAACTAACTAGCCGTTTAAAGGTCTAAGGAGTTCATATTATTGCCGGCAGATGGCGATGTCGACAGCCAGAAGAAACGGAAAAAACGGGGTGGAGCGTGTCTGACAGCTGGGTGGGTTCGGGGCCAAGGTGATTGAAAACAGGGTGGAGCGTCACGTGACGCCATAGTTGGATATGGAAGTGACGTCAGGCAGCTATGATGGCCTCTAGTTAACAAAATGGCTCCTACCACGAGTTCCTTTGTCTCTTCTGTTGCTGATCGTGGATCATAGTTATCCTCGCTTAAAGGGACGATTCATTTGGAAACTTGCACATTCTATTCATCTAATTGATTCTCATCAGCTATTTCATACAACCACCAACGTTAATAGAGTATTCGACTTAGGGTCAATGATTAAGTTTATAGATTTACAGTACATGATTCAAATAATAAAAAATCTACTGCATAGAGGAGTAACATTTTCATTAAAAACATGGTGTGTATACTTAATCCTCGAAGACGAGTCAATCCATATCTTATTTAGGAAAATTTTTCTTGTGATGACCTAAGACGAATTTCAACTGGAATATTAAAGTGAAATTTATATTTGAATTACCCGGTTAAAAGATTTGTATTAGAATCACTCCAATAATACTTATACTTAAAATTAGAATAATCGAGTATTCGAACTGTCCATAAAAAAAATTCCAAATCTTATCCCAAATTAATCGAATAGCATTCCGAGTTTATATCAATGGCTACCGAAAGTTTAACAGGAAGCAAAGTGAAGCTAACCTAAACCGCCACGCGTTCAACGTCCCATAAATACGCCATCAAAAGACCATAAACACCTGCTGAACGATTCCCAAGCGGAATATATTCGGTGTAACGGGTTTCACGGTCGTTTCGCTTTCTCTGTGATAACCTAATGAGCGCTAATCGAGTGACAAGAAATTGGGGCTTCACTTTCGCTATCTCGAAAGCGCCGACGATCGTTGAACCGTGCGAATGGTAGGACGGGATTAAATAAACGGCACGATATCGCGGACAGCTGGCCAACTGAAGATCGCCGGCCCATAAATGCTGGCAGGATTTGACAGTTATGGGACTCGTAGCTCGTGCCGGTCGTTCGCACGCCGTAAAACAGTCGTAAACTAAAGGAGCTCGTAAAACGGGGACCCTTGAACGAGCCACCTACGTGCCTGAGGTCCCGGCTCCGGAAAAAAAGAACAGAAAATTGCGACCTTGAACACATTCCTGTTCAGGGCTCCGCCAATTTGGTCCATACGATGTCCTTGAATTTCTTCCCGCAGGTATGCGTTCCAGTAATTTCTTTTCTGTTTTATCGAATACCTCTGTAATTAACTTTGGACCCTCTATTATGCTATTCTTTACCTTATGTGCTCTCCATTGTACTATTTTTACGAGTATGGTATTTGAATGGGGCTTAAATTAGGGTAGGAATGTTCGCTACGTGCTTGGTTCAAGGTAAAGTATGTTTGAAAAAGACTGTTACCTTTTGTTAATAGTTCTACAATATGAGCGGTAAAACCTTTCACTATTTTTTATAGAACATCGTTTTAAATATTTATGATATTAAGATGGACGACAGAATAACTTAACCTGTTCATTTTAATTATTAAATGTGTGTACACTTTATCGTGATATTCTATATAGTGTGTGGTAATAAATATTACATTTATTAATTTCTTCTTACGATAGAGATCTGATTGGTCTGTTCTATTATAAATCGCAGGTTTAGGAGTTAAACAAGGATAAATTCCATGCTACAGGAAAAAAGTATAATTAAAACTACTTTTTCATGCTATGATCAAATTATTAGAATTTCTTTGCGATTAAATATTATTTAAGATCAAAGACAAGTAAATAGTTTCAAGCTTGACCGAGTTGACGATAAGTAATTATATCAATCACCTCGAACAAATCGCCATCGCGTTAATATAATTAGAGTTTCAATGCGGCCGCTGATTGTGTGTCATCAATTTAAAATACTCGTTTTTAGTAAGCGATGATAGGGGTCAGCAAGGTTAATTGCACGTCCGAAGGTGATTTTTCGCTCGTTTCTTAATTCACAACCAGATATTCGGATGA